AACGGTTACCTCTGAGGATGGTGGACCTTGAGGCAGATAATTTAGGGAGTAGTGGACCATGAAATGGGAATTGGAACTGCTCTTTTGACGTGTAATCTGAGTGGGGCGTTTTTGCCTGCATGACGGTCGTCACAAGGTGTGACGGTCGTCACCCGTGTGACGGTCGTCATGCATCTGTGACGGTCGTCACATCAGCAAAAACTGTCTGCTGCGCTTTTCATTGTGTTTTCACTCCTTTTTCGTCCATATTTCATCTGGGATTGCTTCTTTTCTTCATGTTGCCTTGTTTAGACGTGATCGTTGAATACCTGCAAAAACATCAGACAAATACATGGAAATAACCCGAAATCGGATCGAAAACGGTTAGCTTTTAGTCGAATTATGCATGAAAATATCTATATGATTTCGTGTTATCACCCCCCTAAACCATTCATCCTTTAGAGCTGCTTTTTTCGTACACTTGCTCTTTATTATGCTTATTTTATGAACCTTTCAGAAAATTCCAAAATATTTATTTTTTATACGTTTTTGCTTAGTTAAAGTAGGCACCTTTTTAGGTTTGTTTTAGGGTTTCAAATTGTAGATGCTTTTGATTGGCTGCATTTTATGGCAAAACATTGGAGTATGTATGAATGTCATAACTGATGTTATGACATACATGAAGAGTGTTCTGTAGGGAGAGCTAAGAGTAAGTGAAGTTGAATGTCATGACTGAATGTTATGACATCGAGCATATGACATCAGGGCACGCAATATTAGTTTTTCTGTTATTAGCTCAGGCTATACTTCAGGAAACATTTTAGGTAGCCTAGTTATCTTAGGCGACATAACAGGCACTGCTAAGGATAACCTGGAATGCCCCTGACTCAATTGGATGTGCGCAGCTTCATGAAGAGAGGTTTAGCTTGGGTAAACCTAATTTCTCCATCAAGGCCTAAACCAAGTCTGCTGCTATAAATAACAGAAGGATCATTCCTAATAAAGCAGAGCTTCCGGAGATATATTGGAGAGTGTGTTTTGTGAGTGGAGAACTTTGTTCTTCACGTGCGTTTAGGAGTCTTAGGATTCCTTGTAGGCCAAGTAATTGTCTGTTGTATGATTGCTCTGGTTTAGTGTTAGTGAACTGTTGTGTTCATTGTGCCACTCAAAGCTTTTAAGCAAGAGTGTTGTGTCTCTTGATCAAAGCTGTGAAGCAAGATCAAGGTGTGTTTGAAGCGTGTCTTCATTGTCCAATTGTAATTGTGTATTTATATCACTGAGGTGATTGAGGAGGAGTGAGTGGGAAACTCTGGTCTAGTATTAGGCTGAAGTGTCATTGGGTAGGTCTTAAGTGAAGAGTGAAAAGAGGTTATTTGACTCTGAATTAATTCTACTAATAGTAAATTTCCTCCCTGGCTTGGTAGCCCCAAAATATAGGTGTGGTTGACACTGAACTAGGTGAACAATTACTTGTGTTATTTACTGATTTCTTTTACAAATGTGTTTAAGTTCTGCAGTCTGTGTTACAGTGGATGTCATAACATCCGTGATAACATCCATTGTATTGTATAGCCAAAATTTCAATTGGCATAAGAGCAGGCACCCTGCCTGTTATTTCTGGGTGAGATCTAGGGAAGATAAATTCTGGTACTATGGACAAGGATATAGGCTTCACAAATAGACCACCAATTCTGGATGGATCCAATTATGACTACTGGAAACCTAGGATGATAGCCTTCTTAAAGTCTTTGGACAGCAAGGCATGGAGAGCTGCAAACTCAAGATGGGAACATCCAGTGAAGACTGATAAAGATGGAGTATCTGTGATTATACCTGAAGAAGAATGGACCAAAGAACAAGAGGCCTTGGCTCTTGGGAATTCTAAGGCTTTGGATGCCTTATTTAATGGAATTGACAAGAATATTTTCAGATTAGTACATCATTGTGAACTGGCCAAAGAGGTTTGGGATACACTTAAAACAACCCATGAAGGAACCTCTAAAGTCAAGATGTCAAGATTACAAATGCTAACCACCAAGTTTGAAAATCTGAGAATGAAGGAGGAGGAGACTATTCATGAATTCTACATGAATATCCTTGAAATTACCAATACCTCAGGAGCTTTGGGAGAAAAGATGTCTAAAGAAAAGCTTATGAGGAAGATTCTCAGATCTTTGCCTAAAAGGTTTGCCATGAAAGTCACTGCCATTGAAGAAGCTCAAGACATATGCAATATGAAGGTGGATGAACTCATTGGTTCTCTCCAAACCTTTGAGATGGGAATTAGTGATCAAGTTGTGGAGAAAAAGAACAAAAGCATAGCTCTTGCTTCAAACACTGCAGATGAATCAGAGGAAGACAATGAGGAGAATTTGTCATAAGCAATTGTCTTGCTTGGAAGACAATTTAACAAACTGATCAAAAGAATAGGCCATAAGTCTAAGTTTATGTCAAGAATAGCTCCTCTGACATCAGCAGAAGGGGTAACTCTAAAGATAAACCTTGCCAGGGTAAAGGGGTCCAATGCCATGAATGTGAAGGATATGGACATATTAGAACTGAATGTCCCACATGTCTAAAGAAACAGAAGAAAGGCCTAAATGTCACCTAGTCTGATGGAGACTCAAAAAGTGGATCAGAAGAAGAGTCTGCCAAACATGTCAATATTCTGACCAGTGTATGCATATCTGATGATGACTCAAGTGAAGATGAGCTAACTGTTGAGGAACTTGCAGCTTCATATAAGAAGCTTTGCATCAGAAGTGGAGAATTATATCAACAAGGAGAGCAACAGAAGAAACTCATAAAGGAGTTAGAGGTTGAGAAGATGGAGCATCTTGCAACAATAGAGTCTCTCAAAAGTGAAGCCAACTTGTTGAAATCTAATCTGGATCAAATGTCAAAATCCATAAGGATGCTGAACCTTGGGACTGACACTCTAGAAAAAATTCTACAGAGTGGTCAGACAGCAGGTAACATGTCTGGACTGGGATTTGTTGGTGAACAAAAACCCATCTTAGAGTCCAAGAGGCCAAAGCCTGAAGATCAAAGGATGTCACGACCAATGTCACAATATCAGAGGAACAGAAGTTGGAACCAAGTCAAGAAAAAATTCCAAGGGTATAGGTGTTACTACTGTGGAAGACTTGGACACATTAAACCTTTCTGTTTTTGGCTGCATAGATTTCCTAGTCATCCTCATCAAGGCAAATCCAAACAGGGTGCTCAAGTCAAGAAACAACATTGTGCTAGAACCAAGAAGGAAGTCCCTAACAAGAGACAATAATGGGTTGCCAAGGAGGTTGCTCTAGTAGCTCAAACTTCTCTTAGGATTCCAACCAAAGAAGATTGGTATTTTGACAGTGGCTACTCTAGACATATGACTGGTATAGAGAATCTTGTGGTAAACCTCAAACCTCATTCCTCAAGTCATGTAACATTTGGTGATGGAGCTAGAGGAGAAATCAAAGGTGCTGGAAAACTAGATTGTCCTGGTGTTCCAAAACTGAATGATGTCATGTTGGTTAAAGGACTGACTGTTAATCCTATCAGTATCAGTCAGCTCTGTGAGCAAGGTCTCAGTGTCAAATTCACTAAGGAGATATGTGTTGTTACCAATAAAGAAGATGAGGAAGTCATGAGGGGACACAGAGCGAAGAATAACTGTTACTTATGGGAGTCTAAAAGTAACCTCAAAGTCCTGACCAAAGAAGAAAAAGAGGATCAACTGTGGCTGGAAAAAGGTAGACATCCTCAAAGGATGAAGAGGATCATATTCAAGACTGCAGTAAGAGGAACTTCTAGGCTAACTCCAGTTGATAGAACAGGTTGTGGAAAATGTCAGGTTGGTAGGCAAGCCAAGAAAGGACATCCAAAGAATGGTCATTATAGAAATATAGATCTAATATACTGGAACCTAATGGAGTCCATGAAAGGTGATCATCATAAAGGAATCAATGTTACTCGGGATGTTATGACGTTTTTCTGTGACATTAAGAGTAACTTCAATATGAACTCAGTGCAGTCTAGAAGAACCATGCACAGTGATAACAGACATCAATTTGGAAAGGTTCTTGTGAAGTCTGTAAACTCTGATCTACATAATGTTGACATGTCAGTAGAGGTCTAAAGGATACTCAATTTGAAAATTCACAAAGCAATGTGAGGACCTCCATTAATAATGAATTATAGCAATTTGTTGTACCCCAAAATTTGCCCAACTTTTTTTCTTTACTTGGCTTGTGTTTCATTTCATTTCTTTAGCATTTGCATATGCATAGCATTGTGCTTAACAGGGGATCAAGGAAGGTTTGTATCCAAGAGAAGAGTGTCAAGGGGTCCAAGCTCAAGCAAGGGTGTTTTCTCAAGTGGTCAGAGTTCTTTGAGGGAATGGATTGGTATGTATTGCTCACATCCTATCTTGGAAGTCAACTGAGGATCATCAGTGGATCATAAGCTCATGGTTATGGATGGGAGATGTTTGAGAAGCTCGTTGAGTGCTTTTGAAGCCATTGTGGAGCTCATCTAAGTGTTTGTATCATGTGCAAGAGGTTGCAGTCAAGGATTGTAAACCTAGAGTTTCATCTGCTTAGTGCAAAGTCAACTAAGGATTTAAAGGAGATTGAGACTTGGTTTTAAGTCATGGGAGTCATGGGATGTCATGTTGAGGCATCTAGGATGTTATTTCAAGATCAAATCAAGGAGAATCAAGAGTGTGAGAAGTTACTAAATTAGGGTTTTAGAGGTTTGTCAGTATAAAATCCCCTATTTAGTGCCTAACTTCAAGACCACATATCTCAAGATACAAGTTGAATTTCATTTTCTTATAAACATGAGACTTGTAGGGAATGTTCTAAGATTTCTTTTGAGTACGCCTTCTGAATAAGGATCCTTTCTTTAGCAGCCAGGTTCTTCCATAAGTTAGTGGTTACTAGGATTCTCTTGCGCACTAATTCTTTCACCTTAGACTTCTTACAACTAGATAATAGATCGTCCATAGTGTTTATTTCATCTACATTATCTTACAACAAAAGATTCACCTTGCCAAAAACTTCCAGATTCCATTTCTTCAAACTAATCTTGAGCAGCTTCAGGTTTTCCTGCAGGACAAAATCACTCCTCCCCTTGATCCTTAAACTCAACCACTATGTTTCAACAAACTAAATGAAATCCTTATCGTCAATCCAACATTCCTTAACCTTAAAGGGTTTAGGTCCCCAGTCGAGATTATTGGACATGATCCAAACATGGCAGTGATCTGAAATGTCTCTCCTTCTTAACTTTTGACCCATAACACCCCAGTTATGGATTAAGCCATCAGAAATGAGAAAATGATCAATTCTACTCATGTATAACCCATCTTCTCCAAACCAAGTAAACTTGTTATTAGTAATAGGAACATCAACCAAATTGGTGTCTACAATGAATTCGCAGAACTCACGCATCTCCATACTTTTGTTACTAAAAGATGACCTCTTCCTTTCCATTGCATTGGTTACCGCATTGAAATCTCCCCTATGCACTAATCTCCATCATTAAAGATTTTTTTAATCTTAAAGATTTCTTTCCACAAGGACCTTTTGAGGGGTAAAGAGCAAGATGAGTAAACATTTACTACATAAATGACTTACACCTTCGAATTCAATTTCACCCCTGAGAAACCAACCCAAACGAACAATAATATTCTTTTTTGGATGGAAAAATTAATTCTCTTAAAAACTGTATTCATTATCCTAAAAGATACAATATTGCTATGCATTAACTCTATGTAAAAGATCAACGACTTCTGATGCTAAAAAACGAAAATGTCAAAAGCAAATACTATAAAACATGTTGATTATCAAAACACATTTTCTAATGTTTACCAATTTAAATAATTAAAAATATAATAAAATATAATAAGTACAATAATAGTTAAATCCTATAATACCATCATTATTAAACTGAAAATTCAAGAAAAACATGCATCATAAAATATTAAGAAAATTGTCTCTCCCCTTCAATATGTTTTAGAGATTCTCTCTAAATTAGCAATATAATATTTATTTTAAGGATAATTCCATACATACATTATTTTGGAGGAATCCTTCTAAAATGTACATCGATACATGTTAAGGCTTATATCTTTCTCCATTTCTTTAGTTTTTATGTACAAAGACTTAAAAATAAAATCTTCAATTTCTCTTTTTTCATTTAAATCATATAAGATTTTGGAAATTTCAAGTTTGTTTCAATGAAATTTTGTTGCATATGGAACAATTCCTAAATGTCTGTTTGAGAATTATTTTTTTGGAGAATTTTGAAGGTGGATGCTTTAAAGGAGAGTGTCTATATCTTAAAATATGTTTGATATTTTTAAAAAGTTTAAAAAATAATATGATTTTATATGCTAATGTAGTACATTATTTTAATTTTTTAAAAAAAATATCACACATTTCAAAATATAGATGCAATTTTTCAAATCTTTATTCTCTAAATCCCTCCAAAAACCAACTCCCAGGCAGACTTTAAAGAATCCTTCAAATATTATTTTCACCACCACCAAAATAATACTTTTGGAACCATGCATTAGTCATCTCTTGAAGGATCCTTCCTCAATGACACTAAATAAATTAGATAATGTGCTTCTGCATTTCATTTTATTGCCCTAACTTTTCCCAACCATAACACTGACAAGTGAGCACATCATGTACATTTGCATCTCGTTCTATGAGCTGCTTTGATATTTCCATACTATTTGTTTTTGTATTATTGACATTTTTCATGTGTTGCTTTAGCTTGTAATATAAGGTGCTTTGCACCATTGCATTGTTTCCTTTTCACTATACCAAAAGTGAGTTTAAGCAACACATCCTTTACCAACATTTATTTATAAAAAAACACTGCTAATAATCACAAAAGAATATTAGAAAATGATTCTAAAAATAAGCGCAGGCTTAAGTATCCATATTGAAGCTAGCATAAATATACCCGAGCACATCGCATTCTCGATGCTACAACAGATTTATTGCCGAACTTTATTTATTCTAAAAGGAAATGGAAAATATCGATAAAACCCGTGGAAAAGACAAACAGACAAGGGAGTCGATTATGCGAGGGGAGGGTATTAGCATCCCTTATATATGTCGTACTCGACGAGAACCATTTACCTATTCTTTGCGTGAATGAGTATTACTATCTAAAGGATACTTGCGAAAGGGGAAGAAATGTTTATAATTAGAATGCTCGCAGAGGATTGGGGCCCTCGTGCCTACGTATCCTCATAGTGCAATAAGAAAATCAGAGCTCTGTAGTTCGAAGAACTAGGGGGAAAAAGGAAAGGTGGGTGCTTGCTAATATCTCACAATCTTGTGCCTACGTATCCTCATAGTGCAATGAGGGAATCATAGGTCCGTAGTTCATGGAACTAAGGATGAGACAAATGGATTTGATGTTTAAACCATAGAGGAAATAAAGGTGAGGGAAGTGGTGTTTTAACCAAATAATGAATAGAATTGTTTAGATCAAGCGGATAATAGAAGTGATATGAGCGGTGTTTAAACCAATCAAGAGGTAAAAGTTATATAAGTGGTGTTTAAACCGGACCAAAGAAAAAAGTGGTGCTTAAACCAAACAAGAGACAAGAGTAGTGGTGTTTAAACCAGACAAGGAATACAAGTGGTGTTTAAACCAATGGAATAATGTTTAAACTGAGAGAGCGGTGTTTAAGCCAAAGAAAGAATATAAGTGGTGTTTAAACAAAGAGAGTGTAGAAGTGGTGTTTAAACCTAGAAGTTGTAAAAGTGATATAAATGGTGTTTAAACCTGATAAGAGATAGATGTGATGTTTAAACAAAAGAGGATGAGATGTTAACCATAAGATGGTGACTAACCCAAAGAGAAAGATAAGAGTGGTGTTTAAACCAAGAGAGTTATGTTTAAAAAAACAGGAAAAGAAAGTGGTGTTTAAACCAAAGAAGCGGTGATTAAACCGAAAAAGTGATAAAGGTGGTGTTTAAACCGAATAGGAAAAGAAAGTGGTGTTTAAACCAAATGAGAGAGTACAGTATTGTCATGTTAGTATGTTGAAGAGTGAAAAGTTTGAATGTTGTCCTAGGGCGGAAGAACGTATTTGATTAGTTTTGTTATTGTTTTTAGAGGGGAGATAAGTCCTTAGATAGGAATCCCTGCGGACAATACCCAATTCTTATTCTCAAAAGAGTTTGAAACTGCACTTGGTACAAGGACCAAAGTTTTTAGTCTTATGAAGAAATGAGATAATAATGAAGGAAGTGGAATGAATTTGAAAGGGTGGTGGATTGAGTTAGAGTAGGTTGATGGCGATGCCCAAGGCAGCCGACTTATGGTGTAGAGACATACAAGGCTTGCTTGTAGTGTAATAGAGTGGATTAGATGGATGTAGATGAGAGGTATAGGAAACCCTAAGTTTGGTGTGCAAGAAAGCATTTTAATTAAGTAGTTTGAAAATGGTTCGACGTTGGGTCGAGCTTTATTTTTACCTTTGTTTTTAAATTTTTTTTCTAAGCGCTTTGTTTTATCTTTTTTGTCATACAAGCATGCGAGCATAAACGATAAAATAATGTAAAGTCCTAAGCTATTACACTTTAATGAGAATGGGGGACATATTTCCACAATAGGGGATGACATATGAAAAAGAAATAAAATGAAATAAAGTGTAATAATTGAAAAAATGAATTAAGGTCCAAGTTGCCTCAAAGTAGTACCTCACAAAAAAAGTGGAAAAAGTTAGTAGGATGGATCAAGGATGAATGCATGAAAGTTATCTACATTATATGAATCAAAATGAAGTATAAGAATCAATCAAGGAATAACACAAAAGTTTAACATCATAATGGTATAAGAATTTAATAGACTAAGATCATAAAATTCTTAACAAAATAGTTATAAAAATCAACATCAAGATATCAAAGTGATGGCAAAGAATATTCAACTAAACCTAACACAAAGTTCAATCAAAAGTTATCCAATAGAATCAACAAGGTACACATGAGAATTAATTAATGAAAATTTTGCAAGCAATTGACATAGAATCTACAAGAATTTTCGTGCAAGAATCAACAAGACAATGCCTAGAAATTTTTACAAGAAATTGTAAAAAAACATGAAACCGAAATAACAAAAGGTTTTTATTAAAGGTTTAACAAAAAAAAACCAATCAACACCTAACAAAAATCTAACTGTCAATTAACAAAATTTTTAAATAATAATTAACAAAGATCAAGCAACAATTTACAAAGAATTGAAACAATTAACAAAGACCTAAAAAAATTAATTAAAGAATTAAACAATTAACAAAGACTTAAAAAAATAATTAAAGCTCAAAGGGGTATGGACATTGCTGGAAGAGGGTGTAGCTAGCATTTCTATGGGCCAAACAAAGACAAACCCAAAACAAACATAAGTTATGGCCGGGGGGTTCAACGTGAAAGAAAACAGTCTCTGCAGTATTTATATGGGGCAACCGCCTTTAGGCCCATAACAAGTTGGCCAAGAGAAGAAAGGAGACATAATTAACCTCATTCAGCCTCATATTCACAATGCTACCCCCATTGTCGGATTGGGATCCACTCCATTTCTTTGTCCCTCCATTTTCTCCATTACTATAGTTTTTATGTATATAAAATTAACTAAATATTAATTATATGTCACATGTCTTAGAAATGTGTGTTATTTACACACAAAACTATAGTAATGGAGAAAATGGAGGGACAAAGAAATGGAGTGGATCCCAACCCCCCATTGTCTTAGGTCTAGTGCTCCGCTGCGTCGCAATCGTCTCTGGTGACGGCGGAGATCAAATCAGAAACCAGATTAACCTCAATCTATCAGTTTTCTTCTCCTTCCTTACATGCACAACTTGTTTTCTTGTATTCTTAACCGAATTCAAGATAAATCCTAAGCTATAAAAATCCAAGACTCAATGACGACGAAACGCGATTCCGAGCAAGGAAAATATAGATTTTGGTTCAGCATGGCAAGAAATACATTATCATATCAGAGGAATCGGGCGAATGCGACAAGCAAAGAAATTTACCGGTGACGGCGACGATGAGTTTTTTTGGCAGGTATCTCAGTTTCTCTCTTGTGCTTTTTCTCCCTATTTTCTTCCTCTTCTTCAACTACTCTTTGCTTGGTTGCCTTTGTTGTGCTCTGTCCTCGTTGTGTTCTTGTGTGTGTGAGAGTGAGATAGAGGGTTGTATCAGAGGGAGAGTTGTGAAGGAAGCAGAGAGAGAGTTAGAGAATTTTCTCGTGGAAGCTTCAATAGTGTTGTGATGAGAGCTTTGGTGAGGGTTTGGTTCAGAGAGAGGGAAGAAAAGAAGAAGATTGAGTGTGATTTGTGAAAAATGTAAGTGAATCCCCCAATGATTGGGAAAGTGATCAATATTCAATATATAGAGGTGGCAATTGGATCCATTAAGGCAAAATCCATCCATCAAAAAATCCATTCAATCCATCCACCACATAA